TTACAAGGAGGGAAAACAGTACACCTCTCTGAACAGTGTCTGGGAGGCTGTGGTTGCTGCTGCACGCAACGTTGATGGTGAACAGATCAAAACACTGACAGAATCCATGGATGGCAGGCTTTTGAGTGTCCTTGCAAAGAAAGGTGGCTATATTGGTCACTGATTTGTTTTTGTTTTGTTTTGAATGTCAGAAATGTATATTTGTGAATGTTGAGATGTTATATTGGTTTCACTGGTAATAATAAATAATTGAAATGGGTATATATTTGTTTTTTGTTAAGTTGCCTAATAATTATACACAGTAATAGTCACCTGCACACACAGATATCCCCCTAACATAGCTATAACTAAAAACAAACTAAAAAACTACTTCCAAAAATATTCAGCTTTGATATTAATGAGTTTTTTGGGTTCATTGAGAACATGGTTGTTGTTCAATAATAAAATTAATCCTCAAAAATACAACTTGCCTAATAATTCTGCACTCCCTGTATACTTAGATCATATATATATGATCTAAGTATATATATATTTTTTTACACTTTACTTTTTAATTAATTTATTTTAATTTCATTTCCAGCCAGCAGGGGGACCATTACAGGCAGCCCCCCTGTTGGCAATGCAGGAGGCAGCTACCACCGGCCATGTGATTGTGGGGTCCTCGCAAGGACCTCACTTTCACATGGCCGGGGGGCTTCCAGGGGGTCGGACGTGCCGCGGTACCGGGTTAGTAAGGAAAGACCTGAGGGCGTACAATTACGCCCGGCAGCGTTTAGAGCTGCCTAAAATAGGGCGTACTTGTACGCCCTCCGGTCTTAAAGGGTTAATTATTCCAAGGACAGGTGAGCTTGGTTGCTGGAGACTTTTGCTTAGCATGAAAACATTAAACATGGTTTAATACTGAATGGAAGAACAGTGCCAGAGAAATACAGAAGCTATAACCACTTTAATGAGATGATGCCATTTGGGAGCCTACAGTGTCCCTTAAAGGCTTTCAAGTTCACCATTATATATTTTCTTTTGTTGTCTCTTTTTTTCAACCCTGTGATCAGAGGCGTAACTAGAAACCATCGAGGTCAGAGGTGCGAAAATTGCCCTGTGCCCTCCCATGTGTCTTATTCCCGCCCAGCCCCTCCATGTGTCTCATTTATTCCCAGACCCTCTATGTGTCTCATTCTCTCTCCAGACCCTCCATTTGTCTCATTCTCCCCCACTGCCCACTGAGCAGGTGTGTTAAATTTGGTGTTATCGCTCTCACACTCTTTCATACTGGTTACTGGAAGTTCAACATGGCACCTCATGGCAAAGAAATCTCTGAGGATCGAAAAAAAAAAAGAATTGTTGCTCTATATAAAGATGGCCTAGGCTATAAGAACATTGCCAAAATAATGGTGGCCACACAAAATATTGACACTTTGGGCTCAATTTGGACATTTCCACTTAGGGGTGTACTCACTTTTGTTGCCAACGGTTTAGAGATTAATGGCTGTGTGTTGAGTTATTTTGAGGGGACAGCAAATTTACACTGTTATACAGGCTGTACACTTACTACTTTACATTGTAGCAGAGTGTCATTTCTTCAGTGTTGTCAAATGAAAAGATATAATAAAATATTTAGAAAAATGTGAGGGGTGTAGTCACTTTTGTGAGATACTAAATATCTGATCCCCCCAGCTCCTCCATGTGTCTCTCGCCCATCCCCTTCCCGTACCAGCTTACCTTTGACATCTGATAATGGTACTCAGTATCACAAGAAATGCTCTCTTAGAGCGCAATCTGATTAGTGAACCCTATTGATTAGTGACCTGCAGGAGGGGGAGTGCTGGCACACACATAAAAACTTGCTTTTATGTGGGATGTTCTGCTGGCATACCCACCACTTGCAAAGTAAGAGTTTTAACCATTGTTATAGTAAAGTGTTTAAGATACTATTCGATTAGGGTATTATATATTGCATAGAACCATCTAACTACTGGGAGCATACCAACCAGATCCTGTCAGCCATGTGTGGGATACTTCCCTCTCAAGTGGATCTTTTCAAACCCAGTCAGGGGTGATAGGGCTCTGGTCCATGTGAGTTCTCTCCTATACCCCCTATTGTGCATTATATATCTATTCAGATAGTCTACACTACATTTGTTTTCTGTTATTTATTTTTAGCCTTTTTTTCCATCAGTTTAAAATTGCTTATTTTGGTAATAGTATTTCTTTTTGGTATACTTTATGTTTCACCGTGGAACAGCGCAGCTAGACTTCTGGTTTTTCTCATTTGCACGGTCTGTTTACAGCTCAAGTCTTGGAGTAAACAGTGATAAAGGTTTGTGTAACACACTCTGGTTTTCTAACAATTATCACTAACGGAGTAAAAGGATGTTTTAGGCTTTTCACTCTCTTGCGGATGATGTTGAGGCCTCGGTGACTCAAAGGAATAATAAACAGTCTCAACTTGGCTCAATCTGTTATTCAGACATGATTTTTAAAGAAGACATTATGTAGGTATATTTGATTGTCTTGTTTTATAAAATGTATCTGAGTATTGGGAACTTTGACCAATCTTCCAGAGTCCATAGTATTCAAATACCTCTGACATATTTATGTATTTATTTAATACTAAAATATTTTACTAGGAAGGATACATTGAGATTTCATCATGCCACATCATGCCACCTGCTTCCACTGTCGGTTTAATACTACATGCCAGTTTAATGTTTTTTATCACCTAGGTAAATGCCAGAATAATAACCAAGTGTGTGCGTGTGTGAATGCACATGGATACCTCTGAATGTGATAGTTACACTAATTTTATTAAATGGTTCAATGTCTAGTTGCTACTCTGGCAAATGTATAGTCAGCAAAGAGGAGAGCGAGCTGAAGTGCAGTCCTTTAAACAAGATTCTTGAGTGAAGGGAAGGTGTGATATTACAAGACATTTAAAAAGCATACAACGAAACATTAAATAGTGGTAATTGGTAATGAAGATGATGTGACATGCTAGAAATAGAAAAATATGGTGAATTACAGAATTACAGAAATGCATTTATGAATATCAAAATGTATATAAAGAAGCAATTTTGTTAATGTTTTGGTCAAGGATTTACAATCGTACAGAGAGGAAAATCGGACATCGTCATTTTTATGAATCTAGTAAACAGCATTGCATTCAAAACTTGAGTAAAAACTTTACAAGTTTGAACTCGATGGACTTGAGTTTTTTTTTTTTCAATCTAGATTGGTATGTAAATATTTATTTAAGATTAACGCTTATTTTACATAACTACTGACCCATATCCATCCCACCGCTGCCCCAATAACACACTGCACACCTTTTAAAGTGGATAAGGGCAACGGCCACAGCTTTATTAAACATAGTCAATTCTTAACTCCTGTCAGCTGTTGGGTGAGAGCCCAACAGGCAGTTCTCCATACTTATTCTCCAAGAGCCCAACACAGCCGTCACTAGCCATCAGCCTTACGCTGACTGTAGTCTCCCCAAGGTCACCTTGCATTATACTCCTTCCTTTTTGATTACGTTGTCCAGGGAAAACCTCCAGCTGTGACAATAAGAAAACACAAAGAGAAACCACACAACACACCACAAAAAACCAGGGAGGGAGACTGGGAAATTTAGTCAGGGTCTATGAACAACTCTTGCTGACTGGTAAGTCCCCTCCCCTACTCTCCGTTTAACTCCTCCAACATTGTTTTCTCTTAACTCCAGCCCACCATCCTGGGCACCAGTTATGCTCCCACTTCCCTATTTGTCCAGGGGTAAACTTTATTTCCGCTGAGTAATATGGACATAAAATCTAACAATATATAAAGAAAGCCCACACACTACATGTAACAGTTATGCCCAAGTACCTATTGTTGAATTTGACTAGCAGAGCCAATTCAAATACGTTTTTTTTTTTGGCCGAATTAGGGCACGAGTTTGATCCACAATTTTTCCCAGAAAACACATGAAATTTACAGACCTGCAAAACGTGCATTTTCTTCCAATGAGATTTTGTTCCCTGCTAGGTGACCTCCAATGCCCTGACACCAGAAGCACTGGAATGGAGTTGAAAGTAAAAATATTTGCTGGGACCTACAACTGAATTGTCTCTCTGGAGTAACCCTCTGAAACAGAACCGGAAGTCATGGGGTACTTCCACAAAAATCTAACACGTGCTGCTGATCCTGATACGGTTGGGGTTCAGAGGATGTGAGCAGCTTAAGTAGCTGCAACTAGCCACTCCCACAATTACAGGCTCTCACTTTTTAATA